ATGTACTATAGTAACACTGTAGTATTGGTGGTTCAATGGATAGAGCACTGGGTTTGGAGTCAGGAAAACCTGAATATAAATCCAGCCTCAGATACTTACTAACTGTGTGACCCTGGACAAGTCGCTTAACCTTTGATTGCCTGACAAAATGGATCTCCTGGAGAAGGAAATGGCAGACCACTCTAGTGTCTTTGCCATAAAAACCCCACATGGGGTCATGAAGGGTAGGACATGACTGAAATGACTGAACAATAACAACAAAATGCAATAGTGCAAAGTATTTGTTGGACTTGGAGTCAGGAAAGACCTGAGTTATCATCCTAACTCAGACACTTGGGTCACCCTTTACCCAAAGAGCACCCCAGTCTAGAGTGTAATGGGCTGGGGATGGGGAGTGTGTACAGGGAAGCCTGGTTTGGGGGGCTGTAGACCTTGGGAAGAAGCTTGTTCCATAAGGCGGCTCAGAGAAGAGCAAGTGGGGTTGTGTCCCTGTCCATGCATCTCCTCCCAAGTCCAGCAGGGAGTTTGGGATGGGTGGACTGTTCCTCGTGCCACCAAAATCAGAAAATAGTTGTTATACCTGCTTCATAGGGTTATTATGAGCTTGCATGAGATAATATCCAGAAGATGATTTATAAGTTTTTAAGAGATGGGGACTCGACCTGTGATTTCATTGTTACAGGGAACTACCCTGTCTATGAAAGACCTTCTTTGCAACTGAATGTCCTAGAGGGTTGCCTTGAGCATGGACTAGCCAGTGGAACTAGTAAGAGCAACAGAAAAGGGGCCTGGAAAACAGCTGAGGCAACAGATGATAAGAGCAGACTTCAGCCCCTCCCTGTTCCCCTGGAGCACTGGCTGAGGAAGCTCCTGAAAGTCCACATTTCTTTCCATTTCCCCCTCCAACTCAAGGGAAGAAGGGGTGGGAGGTGGAAAGGGATGGAAAAATTGGACTGGAACTTGCCACTGGATGCCTCGTTCCTTTTAATGCTTATCCCTGTCTGCATGCTGTTTGAAACTGCTATTAAACAAAATAGTTGGCTGTTGTGTTGTATTCGACTATTCATGACCCCATTTGGGGTTTTCTTGGCAAAGATACCAGAGTGGTTTGCCATCTCCTTCTCCAGCTTATTTTACAGTTGAGGAAACTAAGGCAAACAGGGTTAAGTGACTTGCCCAGGGTCACACAGCCAGTAAGTGTCTAAAGCTGGATTTGAACTCAGGAAGAAGAGTCTTCCTGACTCCAGGGCTGCACTCCACTGTGCCACCTACCTGGCTATTCCGGGAGCAAGACACTCTATCTCTAGGCTCTGGACATTACCTTTGGCTGTTCCCCATGCCTGGAGTGCTCTCTCTTCTCACCTGCACCTCCTAGCTCCCCTGGCTTCCTTTAAGTCTTGGCTAAAATTCCATCTTCTTCAGGAAGCCTTTCCCAATCCCTCTTAATCCTAGTGCTTTCCTTTGTTAGCTATTTTCTATTTTTTCTATTTTTCCTGTGTGTAGCTTGTTTGTACTCCCCCCCCCCCCTTCTTCTTGTCTTTTCCACTAGATTATGAGCTCCTAAGGACCTAAGGACTATGTTTTCCCTCTTTTTGTATCCCCAATGCTTAGCACAGTGCCTGGCCCACAGTAGATGTTTAATAAATTCTTAGGGACTGATTAACTGTTCCCAGGGGCTCATCATACTGATGCTGAATCTCTACAGCTCAAGTGATTCACCATCCTGAGCCTCCTTGATAGCAGGGATTACAGGCATTTGCTATTATGCTTCTTAGAGTATCCTGGAATGGATTGCCATAAAGGCCTGCATATGAAGGTGGCTGGAATAATTCACAAGCTAGATTCCTGTAGCTAGGAAAGTGTCAGGACCATTTGCTGAGCAATTTGGAGCTGTGCCCAAAGGGTTATAGAACCATGCATATCCTTTGACCAAACAATACCACTACTAAGTCTGTATCCCAAAGAGATAAAAAATAAAAAGGAAAAAGACCTATTTGTACAAAAATATTTAAAGCAGCTCTTTTAATGATGGCAAAGAATTGGAAATTGAAGGGATGTCCATTAATTGGGGAATGGCTGAACAAATTGTGGTTTATGATTGTCATGGAATACTATTGTGCTTTAAGAAATGATGAGCAGGCAGTGCTCAGAAAAACATGGAAAGACTTACATGAACTTATGCAAAGTGAAATGAGCAGAACCAAGAGAACATTGTACACAGTAACAGCAATTTTGTATGATGATCTACTATGAATAATTTACCTATTCTCAACAATACAATGATCCAAGACAATTCTGTAGGACTTATGATGAAAGTTGCTGTCCATCTTTAGAGAGAGAACTGGTAGAGCCTGAATGCAGGTCAAAGATACTTTTTCTTTACTCTCTTTATTTTTCTTTTTTTTGTCTGTGTTTTCTTTCACAGACTGACTTATATGGAATACTCTTTGCATGACTACGCATGTATAATCTATGTCAGATACTTGCCTTCTCAATGAGGTGGGAGAGGAAGTGGAAGGAGAGAATTTGGAACTCAAAATTTGAAAAATAAAGTTTAAATTGTTTTTACATGTAATTGGGAAAAAATAAAATATTAAGATTAAAAATTAAAAAAAAACTGTTCCCTGCTTTTGCTGATGTGTACAAGGTGCTATGTACCCCAAAGAAAGTAGTTTTCCCTCTCAGCTTTCTTCTTTTTAAATTGAGAAGACTTTATCTTGCCTTCCCTCCCTTCAAGGGGCCTTGAGAGGTTAAAAGGTTTATGTGCGTATGTATCTTGTCCCCCAACTAGTACATTAGCTCCATGTGGGTCAAGAAAGTTGACTCAGATAAATTTTATCTTAGTCTCAGCACATAGTACTGTACTATGCGCACAAGTAGTTGCAGTAAATAGCTGATGAATTGAGTGTAATTGCTTAGGTTCTTGAATTCAATTTTTGAGTTCTAAATCTCAATTGAAGGTGATATGATTATAGTGCTCTATTTAGAATCAGGAATATCTGATTACCTTTTTTTTTGTATCCAAAGTGCTTATTGCGGTACTTGACACATAGTAACACTTAATAAATTATTGTTGACTGACCGACTGACCTGAATTCAAATACCATCTTTGACATTCTAACTATAGGCAAGTCATTTAATGACTTGGGTCTCAATTCCTTCTCATGTAAAATGAAGATAATAATAGCTGTAGTATCTGCCTCATAGGATTATTGCAAGGCTTACAAGAGATGATATCTGGCAGATGATTTGTAAGTTTTAAAGAGATGGGGACTTGACCTGTGATTTCATTGTTATAGGGAACTCCCCTGTCAATGAAAGACCTTCTTTGTAACTGAACATCCTCTAGGTTGCCTTGAGCACCAAAAGATGAAGTTACTTGTCAAGGGTCATGCAACTAATAGGTGTTAGAAGTACGATTTGAATTTGGGTCTTCTAGGCATCAAGATCAGCTCTCTGGCAAATCATGCTACCTCTTAAAGTCCTCTATAAGTATCTGTAATGATAATTCATCTCATCATCAAAGTTCATGGAAGAATTGCAGCTCATATACTAGCTAGTCATTAATTATTTTGAGTTTCTTTAATAAAAGTAATACCTGTTGCCCCTGTCTCAAACCTACCTCTTGTCTTAGGGTTGGAAGGGATTTGAAAGATTCTCTCATCCAACCCACTCATTTCACAGAGAGGAATCCCAGAGAGGTCGGTAACTTGTCTAAAGGCACATGGGACTCAAAACCAAGTCTTTTCCACTTGGGCTTAAGTCTTAGTCTTTGGAAGAACCCAAGTCAGAGCTACATGATTCCTCCCCCAACCCCCCAGGGATTTGTTTTCTGTTTTTTGGACTCAGTGACTAGAAACAAGAACACATATGGAGTGTTGTGACTATGGGAATGCTAAACGATGGGGAGTAGGGAGGAGATTTCTTACAGGTCAAAAAGTCTTGATCTCTGGATTGTATATGGTAACTGTGGGCATCAGTACTTGATAGTTCTGCTGGTACAAGCTAGTTCTGTTCATACCAGGGAAATTCTACAGAGGTCAGTTTGTTCTTGCAACAGGGAGAGATAGTTTGCCTCACTGGGCCCACTCATGAGTCACTGCCAGAGACAGGGTCCTTGGGCTGGAGGGAAACTGTCAGGGGTAGTGTTTTGAGGCTAGGGAGAAATATGATCTTGGAAGTGGGGTCCAAGTACAAGGACCCAAGCACCCTGTCAGTTTCATAGGAATTTTCTTAGCCTGGTTTAGAGGGCTATTCAACCTTGATCAGTCAGTAAGCACTTATTAAGCACTTACTATCTGCCAGGGATCATTTAAGCACTGGGGATATAAAGGCAAAAGACAATTCCTGCCCTTAAGAAGTTCAATCTAAAGATCAGATCTATAGCTTTGCTATTTTTCTCCTTCCTTAAGAGTCTAAAGAATGACAATTCTTCAACAATATTGGATTAGGCTGTCCCTGTGTGAAATATTCTGGTTTTGGGGAAGTGGGGGATAGGGGAAGCAAGATGGGAAGCAATTTTCCATCAGTCTGAGAAAACTGCATGGGGGAATCAGAGTAGGGGGTGGGGAGGGCTTCTTTAACTAGTGCCCTTGCTGGGCAGCTGATTGGAGATGATCAAAGCCTCTGACATCCAGTGTCTAAAGAAATACTGCTTGGGTTTTGATCCCACCCTGATGTAAACTAAAAGTGGTGAAATACTAACAACTGAAAAACAGCCTTTTGGAGGGCTCTCAGAAACCATCTCACACTTCTCATATTGCCTAGGTCAGCAGATAGTCAATAGATAATTGAGCAAAACCTGCTAACCAAGCAGTTATCATTTGACAAACTGTTCCCTAGATGGATGGCATTAATTTATTTTCATGTCATTTTTAGTTTATTGCTGTAGGGGAACCAAACCCATATGTTTGTATTCTAATTACCTTGGACAGCTGCCAAAGCCAGCAGAGAATAAAAGGGGATCCTTCCCTTCTCCCACCAGAGAAGTACTCAATAGCCTTGTTGCTCTTCTCTTTAGTTCATCCTCACTCACTCTCTTTTAGCCATCATGAGCAGGCAGGCTGTCTGGAGATCCCAAAGTGGAGGTTACAGCAGTGGCTCTGCTGTCTTGCCTGGCAGGAGCCGGAGAGTGGCTGGAAGCTCTTCTGTTCTGAAAACTGGAAGCTGTTCTGGAGGCAGAGGAGTCAGCTCTAGCAGCCGAAGCCTTGTCAACCTCGGTGGGCACAAGAGCATCCTTACCAGTGTGGCAGGTGGAGGCCAAGGAAGCCTTGGCTATGGAGGCTACACAGTGGTGGGCCTTGGTAGTGGACGTTTAAATGGTGGAAGTTTTGGAATGGGAGGCTTTGGCCTCAGTGGCTTGGGAGGAGTTGGTCTGGGTGGTGGATCCTTTGGTCCTAACATCTACCCTGGTGGGATCCATGAAGTGATCACCAATCAGAGCCTTTTGGTGCCTCTGGATGTGAAGATAGATCCAGAGGTCCAACAGGTGAAGACTCAGGAGCGGGAGCAACTCAAGGTCCTCAACAACCAATTTGCTACCTTCATTGACAAGGTAAGTATCACCATTTAACATTCAGAGAGCCAGGAATAAACTATTTCAAAGATCTACAGGAAAAGGAAGCTTTCTAAACTTTCAGAGGTTACCTATCTAGCCTTTTTTCACTGTCTTTCAACAGGAAAGTGTCTACGGTTTTTCAGGTACTAGGATAGACACTCACTTTATTCACAAAATTCTCCAAAATGAAGGAGCTATCACAACTTTCCAGGATAACTTGTCCTTGGGGTTGGGAGGTCTCAACTTCGACAGGAAGGCATTCCCAATATTGAACTTTAATTCCATTTCAGTTTCAACCTAGCACCTCTTTTTAGTTCTCTATGAGTGATGTTACCCAGAAATGAAGATGTTTTCACAGTAAAATCTTTGAGAGGTCCCAGTGAGCTTCCTTAGAGACAAGCAAGGGACCCCAAAATAATGGAATATTCTCTGATTCCCATGGGTTTTCATGTGAATTTAGATCTGTAAGGGGCATCATGAGCACATTGGTAGCATGTTGGTCTTTCTGGAATCAAAGTCAGGAAATTGAAATAAAAGGTAGTGATGATAGCAAAGAGTGAAGAAGAATTGGGGAAGATGGACCATTGTAGATGAGATGGTCAGTTGACTTTAAATTCTATTAGCCAGGCTGGCCAATGTCACTGGGTCTGGCTTCAGAAGTAAAAATAGAACTTTCTGTTTGATTGGAAAATCTGTTCTTAAACGAACCTAAAAGTTTACTTATTTGTAATATCTACATAGCATTTTAAGGTTTACAAAATTTGCCTATGGTCACACAATTAAGAACAGGGTTTGAACCCAGATCTCTTGATTCCAAAGCCAAGGCTCTTTCCCCCATAGCAAGCTATCATAGAAGGCCCTTGCTTCTCTGGCCTTTTCCCACTCTTCATTTCCTGATCTTAGTCAGTGAGACTTTAGACTGGATTTTGGATTGAGTGAGGTGGCCAGTGGCGATGTATGCCTGTAATCCCTGCTACAGGTAGAGACTGAGGCTGGTGGATCTCCTGAGCTCTGGAGTTCTGAGCTGGAGCAGGGATTAAACTGATTGGATGTCTTCACTAAATCCTATACAAATAGGACATTAGGGGTAGGAAAAATGTAGTAGAGCAAAGGGTCAGTGTTTATTAGTAGGCAGATTGGGCTGTGAGTGGCTGTTGTATTTCCAGCCTGGTTTAGAGGTTAGATATTAGAGATGAAGGAAATAAAGAAAGAAAGAGAGAAGGAAGGAAGGAGCTAAAGAGGGAAGGAGGGATAGAGGGAAGGACAGAAGAAAGGAAAGGAGAAAAAAAGGGAAGGAAGGATAGAGGGAAGGACAGAAGAAAAGAAGGAAGGAAAGAGGGAAGGAGGGAAAGAGGGAAGGAAAGAAGAAAGGAAGGAAGGAAGGAAGGAAGGAAGGAAAAAAGATCTGAGCAGGACTTCCTCCACTAATGCAGGTTGAAACATTTTAGTAAAATAGTTCTTCCTGAATTGACATAGCCAAAAAAATCAATGTTGGTGGCCATCTGCTTTCTGCTGATGAGCAGAACTTAACTAGACTGGTACTCAGGCGGCAGACAGACAAATGTCCTCAGTCTTTCCAGTTTGCTGGTATGGATGGACCAGAGCTTATGTTCCTTTGGAGTAGCCTTATTGAATCATACTCTCAGCATTGGAAGGGATCTTGGAGGTCATAAAGTCTAAGACATATTCTCCTTCGCTCCATCCCCTACAAGTGGTCATCCAGGCTTCAGGAAACCTATGTCCCCTCCACCCCAAGATGATATATTAAAGGAGGAATTAAAAAAGGTAAAGTCAGTTAGGAAATCCTCACTGAAGCAGTGGAAAGAGGAAGGAGTGTTGGTGAACACTTTGGACAGCCTGGAGCCTCTTGCATCAGTGAGTTGTTATGCAAGTTCAGGAGGGTTCCCTTTGATTATGAGATGATTAAGTCATTTTTCTAGCACTAAAGGAATGTCATACAACACCCTGAAGAGAAAATTCTGCCTTAGGGGAATTTAAGGGTGGGGAAAATCAATGGAGGGATCAGCAACTTCTGTTGAAGGCTTATTGTGGACAAAGCCTTGAATGGTATAGAGATACCAAAAGACAAAGAAAGAAAGAAAGAAGACAGGGTCTCTGCTCTCAAGGGACTCTGAATCAGGGACACTAAACATTGCATTTATCAAAAGGCTTAAGAACACTTACAAATCAACATGCAAATATATGTGAAGAAACAGTACTAACTGAGTAGCTAAGAGCAGAGGGGAGTGGAGGAGTGCTCCTACATAGCTCATAGTGTTAATTAGGGAAGGTGTCCTGCAGGAAGGGGCCTTTGAACCAAGATTGAAAGGAGTGACACAGATGGAGGGGCAGTAGTAGAAATCTTGTAAGGACCATAGAACGCAGAGCTGGAAAGTATGTTAGTGACTATTTAGTCCAACTGAGGAGAAAGCAGGCCTAGAGAGATGAAGTGAATTTTCCAATGTGGGTGGTGGGGAAGAGGGAAAGGAAAAAGCATGTGTTAAGTGCCTACTATGTACCAGGCACTATGCACTTAGCACAGTGCCTTATAGATATCATCTATAAATTATATGTATTATCTTATAAAGTGCCTTACAGATATTATCTCATTTGATCTTTACAACAATCCTGTAGGGTAGATGCTAATAATATTCCCATTTTACAATTGAGGAAACTGAGGCAGAAAAATGTTAAGTGACTTCCCCGGAGTCACACAGCTAGTAAGTCTCTGAGGCTGTATTAGAACTTAGGTCCTCCTGACTCCAGGACTATTGCTCAATCCACTGTACCAAATGTCTGAGGTTGGATTTGAATTCAGTTTTTCCTGACTCCAGGCCCATTACTCCATCCACTGGGCCACCTTGGTGCCTAGGTGGTACAGAGCAGAGCTAGGATTGAACCCAGGCCCCCTGATCTCAAGGGCAATGGCATGTGACATTGAGAGTTTGAACTGCTACAGACTTAATCTGTGCTTTGAGCAAGTTCCTTCTTTCTGCATCTTAGTTTCCTCGTCTGTAAAATAAGGAGGGTTAGACTAGGTGATATCGAATGTCCTTTGCAGCTCTGACAGCCAAGGATGCTGTGATTCTGAGAAGGGCCCTCCACAGGTCCCAGAGTCCTGGGCTCTGAGCAGTCCCTGTTGTCTACAGAATGGATTTGTTTCCCCATTTCAGGTGCGGTTCCTGGAGCAGCAGAACCAGGTACTGAAGACCAAATGGGACCTGCTTCGGCAGGTGGACATCAGTACCAGCACAACCAATTTGGACTCCATCTTTGAAGCCTACCTCAGTGGCCTGCGGGCCCAGGTAGATGATCTCAAGTCCCAGAAGAGCCAGCAGGATGCAGAGCTGAAGACCACTCAGGACTCAGTGGAAGACTTCAAGAAGAAGTAAGTGGGGCCCATGGGGGAAATGTTACTGTCTATGAGAGGGAAAGGCTACTTTACTTACCCTGTTTCTGTGGAGGTCTTAAAAACACCCTCATCTCCGCTAGATTCTCACACATGCCTGGGCCCTAGAAACGAAGCCCATGGTTTGTTTTCTATGGACTGCCACCATCAAACAGCTGCTCCTGCTGCTCTGACATAGGGAAGAAAAGACAATTTCCTGTGGTGACTATAAGGGCTTTATCACACATCACTAGGGCAGGCAGGCTGGTGCAGTAAAAACAACCCTGTCTCTGTTGTCAAAGGGCCTGGGTTCAAATCTTGTCTATGTAGGAACTTACCATCATGTGAAGTTGGGCAAGTCACTAAGCCTCTGAGGTTTAGCTTCTTTGTCTATAAAGAGAGGGGGATGGACTAGGTGGCCTTGGAGATGTTTTAAGGCTCTAGATTAGGAATTTATAACTTTTGTGTGCGTCTTGGAGTCCCTTGGCTGTCTGGAGAAGCCTGTGTTTTTTCTCAGAATGATGTTTTCAAATGCATAGAATTTCAAAAGAAATAAATTCTGTCTGTCTGTCATTCTATCTATCTATCTATCTATCTATCTATCTATCTATCTATCTATCTGTCTTTGTTTCTCTCTATCTATCCATCCATCCATCCATCCATCTATCCATCCATCCATCTATTTATCTATCTATCTATCCATCCATCTATCCATCCATCCATCCATCCATCCATCTATCTATCTATCTATCTATCATCTATCTATCTATCTATCTATCTATCTATCTATCTATCTATCTATCTA